TTTCTCCGCTCGCTCACCCTTGTGTCGGGCGTTTCCCTAACACTAAATGGTTTGGCCCCCCTTTATCTTACAGAATTGCTGCATCCCTATAGCCCCTCTCGGTGCCTCAGATCAGCTGATCAGCTGCTCTTGGAGACACCGAGGGCTAGGTGGAGACTTAGGGGGGACAGAGCCTTCTCTGTGGGGGCTCCTAAGTTGTGGAATGCATTGCCCCTGTACATTAGGCAGGCCCCCTCATTGTTCACTTTTTAAACTTAGTTGAAGACTCATCTGTACCGTTTGGCGTTCGAATCAGTATGAGCCACTGTCTTGTTGAGTCTTTGTTTTATGATGGGTGGTTGTTTTAAGTGTGATGTTTTATTGTTGCTTGTTTTATTTTGTTTTAATGGGTTTTGTGAATATTGTGTTAAGCACTTTGGTCAGCTCTGGCTGTGTTAAATGTGCTATATAAAAGTTGATGATGATGATATAAGATGATCTTGATCCTACAAACACATGAGTCACTTTAGAACCAATTAATCAGACCCTCTTAATATACTCTTGACAAAAAAAAATTATTTATATGTATTAAATGGCCTGATAATTTTGGATACATGCTTTATTTGAAAAAATCAAAGTAATATTATGGAGAATCCTGCTTCAGACCACATATACAAAAAACGAATATCAAAAATATGCAAGATATTACACCAAGACATAGAAAAAGTCACTTTAGCTCCAGACCACAAAGAAGCTATAAAAACATGTATTTCAAGCAAAGTCTAAACCTATTTTACACCTTAGAACAAAAACTCTCTGAAAGTCGTGTCTCACTCAAAGTAGAAATGTGACATGTCCAGTTCTACTGCTTTACACTGTAGTACACACATTCACTCCAGGTTGGATCCCTCATTTTCCTTGAGCTGTTGGTCAGGTTCACACTTGAAGCAGTGAAACAGAGGTTTTCTCTGTGTTTGTAAGGTAACAAATCAGATATATATATATTGATAATAACAATCAAATCAGTATGTAATGATATTATTCTTGACAGAAATTACAACACTGGGCACCAAAGTATTTGAATCATTCAGATAAAAAGTAAATAGTAATTCAACAATTAATTTAACTTGTTATTACTCACCTGTGCATTTGCTGTGGTGCATACAGGAGGTCTTGGTTGAGACTCTGTGAAACACAGGAAGTTATTTTCTTCTTCAGCCATTTTCAGTGAATACAAGCAGTCACATATAAAAAGCTCCATTTACCTGGAATATGACAACTGTTTCTATTGCTGATCATACACACTGAGAAAGCCAGTACAACACTGAGGATGGTGGTGAATGCCAAAGCTCCACACCAGAAATACCTCATCTGAACATCCTCTGCCAAGAGCATACATCAGAAACAAGGCTTTCAGACAGTTTCCAGAAATCTGAGTTTGGAATAATGATGACTAGTTTTCTACTGCAAGAACTATGTTTATAAAGTTACTCACCCCCAAAGTCCAGTTTGGTCCTGTTACCAAACAGTATGTGTCCACAGCAGGCAACAGCACAGTAGTAGGTCCCAGCATGAGAAAGATTCAGGCTCTTCATCGGCGGGTTGTAGACACAGGAGTGTGTTTGTGTCTCAGGTTTCCTCTCACACTGATCACTGCTGCCTCCATGGGTGTAAATGAGTCCTGGATGAGACTGTTCAGAGTCTCTGAACCAGTAAACCCTGTGTTCTCCATCACAGGTCCCAGTGTGGACTGTACAGTTCAGAGTCACAGAGCCTCCTGGCTGGATGGTCTCAGATGCCGACTGATGGACCACAGCTTGGACACTCACACCTGAACCCTCTACACTGACAGTAGTGCCCTCAGCAAACTCAAAAATAAATATATATCTACTAGAACAGTAGTAAGTAGCTGAGTCTGAAACGTGCAAATCTTTCACCTTCAAGTAATTTTTACTATTTCCACTATCCAGAGTGAAGTGTGGATTGTTTTTGTATTCATCATAAAAACTACCATTCCTTACATACCTTTAGAAAGTAGAGATGAACCTTGGTTTCTGTCCCAGTGTTAGTTTCAACCAGTAAAGCCTTGCAGCATGGCCCTTATATAAACATCAGCAAATCATCTCATCACAAACAAATGCTTTTATTATACAAAAGCCTTATACATCTTTAAACTACATGAGTAAAAGCAACAAAGTAGAGGTTGTATGTTTCCTAGAAGCTAAAATGGTAGAAAACAAAATGTATTTACATTTACTGATGGATCTGGACTTCTAAGCAATTAGTGTTCTTTCTTTCAGTTGTGTTTCGGCAGTTAAAGATTACTGTTCAATGTTTAGTGAGGGTTAATTAAAATAAAATTATTCACCTTGTTTCTGTCAGGATGCAGTTCTCTCTTTGCAGCTAAATAACAAAAGATAAAAAGTTTCAGTACAAATGACCAAATATTGAACTGTGGATTTGTTTGTCTCTGCTTGATGCAACATACAGTGCAATGTGTAAAACACTTATCCAGCAGCTGTACCTTTCTGAAGTTGTGTGATTTTAACCACCAGACCAGTGGTGGCCATCATGAAGACGACAGTCAGACCACCCAGGATCACAGTCGTCAGGCTTGTCATTCCATCAGACTCCTCTTCAAGAGAAATCGATAGCATTACACTGTGTTTTAATCTGGTGGCTTCAGACATGGTTAATGTTCACATTCCTTTTCCTGTTAACATTCGTGGAAAGATGATGTATATGAGTAGATCATACGATTAGTGTTAAAATCCACTTAATCAGATTCACCATCACCTTTCAAAAGGGATGGGAATAAAATAATGTTTCTTGTTTGTGCTGTTTTTATGGTACTGTACTGTGATAATATTCTATATACTGTATTTGTATGTATAAAAAAACATTTAAAGATGTTCTACTGACCAACTGTTTTAACTTGAGCACTTCAGTCTGTTGCATTGCCAATGACTGTATGTTTGTTCATGTAAAATCCACAGAAAGACACAGACATTGGAAACAGATCTTTCACTGTGTTTTCTGTGGACACCATCAGTTTGTAAGTACTGTATTTAACCTTTGTAAGAAAGTTACTCACCCTCACAGTCCAGTTTGGTCCTGTTTCCTACAATGACAGTAGTGCCCTCGGCAAACTCAAACATGTGTGAATATCTATTTCTGCAGTAATAAGTAGCTGTGTCTGAAATTTGCACATCTTTCATTGTCAGGTGATTTTTGCCATTTCCAGTATCCAGAGTGAAGCGTGGGTTGTCTTTGAATTCCTCATAAAATGTGATTTTTCTGTCATGCACATAGTTGGTAGCAATGAGCCTTGGATTTTGTCCCAGAGTTTGTTTAAACCAAAAATACGATGTTGAATCATCACCTTCATAGAAACACTGTAAAGTCACATTGTCACCAACATTCACTGATACAAAACCTTTGGTTTGGTGAACAGATAGAGAGGTGTTCACATCAGTCTTCTGAGCTGAAGTGAAATGAAAATAAAAGCAAATGCACAAATAATCAATTGTGACAGAATTTAACATAATCAATCAATAAAAAAAACAGAAGTATTTGCACAAAGAGTTGCTATAAATCAAAATACAGAAACAGGATCCACAAAAACACAACTCACCCATGTTCCCCACAAACAAACATGTCACAGAGAAGACAAACTTTAGAGCTGTCATCATGTTCAAAGTCTTGTGTTGAATGAAAAGTATCTCGATACTTTCTCCACCCTACAGAGACAGGACTCTGTTTGATTGGTCAACCTGAAGTGACTCTGTGCTGTTTGTCCTACTGAGGAAGGATCACATGTTCACTGCCTCCTATAGTGTCAAGACTGACATGGTGAGAGATACATGAAGAGAATAAAAGCTCTTCATCTTGGCAGTATGCACCAAACAGTGGGGTCTATATATGTTCAGCATTTGGCTCAGGACTGACCATCATCATGTGGAACAGATACAGTAAACTGCTTATTTGCTAAGTTTGCTAAGTCTAAGGAATCTAACTAAGGTCATTTGTCAGATATGCACATAATTACTGAGATAAATCAGTCATTTGCAGTGACTTAGATCAACACTTGAGGAGAAAAATTCTCTTTTCTCATTCTCCACTCAAAGGAACCAAGACTGTATGATTGATTGGAAGAGACAATTTTTACTTTAGTTTGAATATCAAACTTCCATACATGTTTTTAGACAAATTTTAGATCACCTGTCTAAAAGCTTAGATCTTTGATACTGTTTTTATTTAATTGGAATAATGTGAATATTCAAACGTCTGCTTTAATCTATTTGTTAGAGCACATTGTAGTCTGACATTCTGCCCTATGCAGCTAGT